GCGACGCGAGTTTCTGTCAAGTCGCTTCTTTACTTTTCGAACCATTTCTACTGATGTTGCTGTTTTCTTCCGTCCACTTCCTTGACGTCGGGCTACGCTACCTGTATCACGGTACGAAACACAAAAGATTTATTCACATTTAATCGCTGGAGTGCTCTAACGATAGCCACTTGTGGTTTTCCAGCCAAATATAAAGAAATCCCACTATCACGCTTGAATTCCATCAGGAATAAGTTTTTTTTTCTGGAAAATTCTCACCTCTTGTACTCTTGTAAACAATATAATGAGCTGTCACTGGAATAATTTTAACAGCTGTCGGACGAGTGGCTTAGAAATGACAGCAGTCTGAAGTTGGTTGCAGTTTTTTCATCTCATCCTGTTTTGGACTATTTAGTACTTTTCGTGCACACTTGTGGTGCACATTTGCACATCCACCTCTTTATCACAAACCTACCACCAACGGAGATCCCAGTACCAGTACCAAAACCATTTAGTACCATTTAGTACACATTTCCGAAGCCACCTTTATGTATCGAACTTATTTTCCAATCTTGACTCCCATACCAAATTTCAATTTTTTAGTTCCATCCGTTCACATAGAACCAAATGGTACCATTTCAGAAGTTTGGTACCGTTTTAGAACTTTTCGAAACCTTAAAGTTCAAATTTCCAAAAATCCTTTGTTACATTTATCCTGCACTCCATCAGTGACTCTCATTGCAATTTTCAAGATTCTGGCTTCTTTCGTTTGTCCAATACAAAGTATTAAATTCGTAGTATGTTTTGGGTACTTTTCGTAACCCTGCAGCACGAATTCAGGACTTTGAAGCATAAATTCAGACTTGATATTTTTATGGACTATTGCAAGCGTTAATATGTTGCAGAATATTTTTTTCAAGGACTTTTTCAAGGTTGGATTTTATTCAAGTGTGACCCGCACACACACAAACTTAAAGACGAGGAGGTGCCCTTGTTTGCCAACACATTGTTCATGTCTTGGAAATTTGTTCCTGTTTGTCCTATGGAAAGGTTAAAATACGTTTTTTTGTTAATCTGGTTTTGATTATCGCCAGACGATTACCATCAGGATGTTGTCTCTCTCTCTCTCTCTCTCTCTCTCTCTCTCTCTCTCTCTCTCTCTCTCTCTGTCACCATGTCATATGTATGCTTAATTATATGCAAGACTTGAAAAGGCCAGACAAAAATGCCAGCAGCATCAATGCTCAGCACCACTACCTGGTTGTATCCTTTTATCAAATAGTTTGTTGTGTGTGTGTGTGTGTGTTGGTGCGTTCTATTCTTGGTATGACCTCGTTTGTTAAATGTTTTCTTTTTTAGTTTTTGTTTTGTTTCGTTTCCAAACTTTGTCGTTAGTTGGCCTTTGTCTCGGTTGCCGCTGCCTGTGGCGAAGGTGGGGATGGTGAAAGGTATTTAAAAAGAGATTTATTGTCGATAAATGTTCAATATTCAATTTGAAGAAAACCTCTATTATTTAATCATTAAACATGGCAAGGCTGGCAAGGAGAAGTATTTTCTTGTGTAGAGCTTGAAGAAAGGGCAACTCCATTCGTTTGTGGCACAAATGTTTACCCCCCCCCCCCCCCCACAAAGCATGCAAACGAACACGAAGGACCAAAGATAAACTCCTCAAATGCTTAGACTTCTTTTCCACCGCAACTAGGCTACATTGTTAATTTTAAACTTACCAGTGTGTGAGTGTGTGTGTCTATTCCACTGATTCCATTGTTCATCCCACATCCCATCCCAATGCCAGCTAATGAGGTGTGCCTAGCCATTGTCATTGGATTTAAAATTAAAGTACACAAATTCAATGTTTGTCGTGTCCTGTTTTTGAGGCGATGACGCGGCTTTTATGGTTTTTCAAATTTAAATCATTTGCCTGCTTGCCGAATGTGACCTTCAAAATACTCAGCACGAGGCAAATAAAGTGAAAGCACAGTGGGGCAAAGAGGAAAATGTTTTTTTCAGAGACAACAACGAAAGAAACGAAAGGAAAAAAAAATAATTTCAAGGATCACCAGAAGTATTTCCTACGGACCTTACAACGTGGATTCTTAAAAGAAAGAATTCAAAGAAAATATTTCTCAAGGGCCTCACAACGTAGATTGTTGAAAAAAAGGAAAATGTTTTTTTCAGGGACAACAGCGAAAGGAAAAAAGGATCACCAGAAGTGTTTTTAAAGAAACTATTTTTCAAGGACCCCACAACGTGGAGTTTTTTTTATGAAATTATTTCCTACGGATCTTACAACGTGGATTCTAAAAAGTATAAATAAAGTATAGTATAAAAGTATAAATAAAATATTTTTTTAAGGATCTCGCAACGTGGATTTTTTAAGAAAATATTTTTCAAGGAACTACAAACATGGGTTTTTCAAAGAAAATATTTTTCAAGGACCGGCGAAGGTGTTTTTTTAAAATATTTTTGAAGCAACTATAAACGTGGGTTTTTCAAAAAAAATATTTTTCAAGGACCTCACAACGTAGATTGTTGGAAAAAAAATATTTTCAAGGAAAATTTTTCAGAAAATGTTTATTTTCAAGGAAAATGTTTTTTCATGGACAACAACGAAAGGAAAATAATTTAAGGATCACGAGAAGTGTTTTTAAAGAAACTATTTTTTAAGGACCTCACAACGTGGAGTTTTTTAGGAAAGTATTTCCTACGGACCTTACAACGTGGATTCTTAAAAGAAAATATTTTTTAAGGATCCCGCATATTTCTTAACAACTTGGATTTTTTTAAGAAATTATTTTTCAAGGAACTACAAACGTGGGGTTTTTAAAGAAAATATTTTTCGAGGTCCTGCGAAGGTGGATTTTTCAAAGAAAATATTTCTCAAGGACCTTACAACGTGGATCTTAAAAAAAATATTTCTTTCCTAACAACGTGCATTTAAAAAAATTTTTTTTAAAGATTTGAATTTTTTAAAGAAATAAATTCTCAAGGACCTCACAATGTTGATTTTTCAAAGAAAATATTTCTTAAGGACCTCACAACGTGGACTTTAAAAAAATATATATTTCTCAACGACCTCACACGTGGACGGGTAAAAAAATATATTTTTCAAGGATCTCACAAAAAATATTTCTCAAGGACCTCACAACGTGGATTTTTCAAAAGAAAATATTTCTCAAGGACCTCAAAATGTGGATTTTTAAAGAAATTATTTCTCAAAGATTTGGATTGTTTGAAGAAATAAATTCTCAAGGACCTTACAATGTTGATTTTTCAAAGAAAATATTTCTTAACGACCTCACGACGTGGACTGTTCAAAAAAAATATTATTAAGGACCTCACAACCTGGATTTTCTTAGAAAATATTTTTTAAAGACTTCTAGAGGTGGATTTTTTTTTAAGAAAATATTTTGTAAGAACCTCACAACGTATTTTTTTTAGAATATATTTTTCAGGGATTTGAATTTTTGGATTTGGATTTTCTAAAAAAATGGATTTTCTTAGAAAATATTTTTTAAAGACTTCTAGAGGTGGATTTTTTTTTAAGAAAATATTTTGTAAGAACCTCACAACGTATTTTTTTTAGAATATATTTTTCAGGGATTTGAATTTTTGGATTTGGATTTTCTAAAAAAATATTGTTTAAGAACCTCCAGATGTGGAATTTTTAAACAAAATATTTCTAGGGGACCTCACAACGTAGATTTTTTAAAGAGAATATGTCTTAAAGAAAATATGTCTTAAGGATCACACAACATGGATTTTTTATAATTTTTTTATTTATTTTTATTTTATTCTTTTTAATGAAGTTATTTTTCAAGGGCCTCCAGATGTTATTTTTTCAAAGAAAAAATTTTTCAAGGATCTCCAGGTGAGGTTTTTTTCAAAGAAAATATTTTTCAAAGACCTACAGACCTGGATTTTTTTGGAAAATATTTGTCAAGGCAGTGTATTTTTTGATAAAAATATTGTTTAAGAACCTCCAGATAAGGAATTTTCAAAGAAAATATTTTTAAGGACCTCACTAGGTGAACTTTTTTAACAAAATATTTCTAAAGGACCTCACAACGTGGATTTTTTAAAGAAGTTATTTTTCAAGGACCTGCAAACGTGGATTTTTAAAGTAAAAATTTTTCAAGGACCTGCAAACCAGGATTTTTAAAGAAAATATTTTTCTTTAAGGAAATATTTTTCAAGGATCTCGAGACAAGGATTTCTTAAAGAAAATATTTTAATTATACATATCAAGGACTTCCAGACGTGAATTTTTGGTTTGGTTTTTTTACAAAAAAAAATCTCAAGGGCCTTTAGATGAGTTTTTTTTTTTCAAAAAAGCTATTTCTTAAGAACCCCCACACGAAGATTTTTAAAAATAAGTTTTTCAAGAATGTATTTTAAAAACATGTTTTTTCCAAGGACCACCAAAAAAACTTCCATCCTTGGATAAGTTTGACGATTCCATTTTCCCTTGCAAGCCCCATTTTGTTTTTGATTACCTAATCAAAAGCGGAATTTTTTGCGATTGGAATCAGCGCCAAACATTAAAAGCGATAATTACCAATAAAGCAAAGGAATAGTATGGATTTTGTCTGGGCCAAAGCAATAATGGGTGGCGCCTAATATTGCCTAGGTGTGTGAGTGACGAACTGCCATTCCAAAAAAGGAAGAAACTCAATTTCATTTCGTTTTGGAGCCATTAATTGTGGGTGGTGTTTCCTGCAATTCGCTGGGTCCCACCCTCCCGCATAACTGCAAAACCCAATCGACACATCAATCCATCAGTGATTTTTATGGGAAAACAGACAATAACAACAACAACAACAATGCTATCAACAAATTTGTTGATTTAGTAGACCACTTTCCTTTTTCATGTCTTAGGTCAATTTTTGTTTTGGATTTTCTATCAGTTTTTTTTTTCTTTTTACCTTTCTTAATTTTTAATTTCCTCTTTTCCCCCTACCCCCTTCATTGTTTAGCAATAATTTTTAATGTTTGGTTTTGCTTTGTTGTTCTCTTTCTAGGTTACGTTACATTTTCAAAATGGCTTTGGCCGTTTCCCTGCGTCGAGCTCTGCTAATGCTCCTCACCGCAACAATATTCGTTTTAATGGTCCTGTATTGGAATCAGGGCGGCATCAAACCACAATCCTATATCAACACATATGAGAAATCCGTGGGCAGCAGAGAGGCGTTGAGCGAATTTCCAATGTGAGTATTTTTTTCTCGTTAGTTTGTAATTAATTAATTTTAAGATATAATTGATTTTGGCGGGATAGAAAGAACTTACCACTCACATGCAGATAAAAAGGTAAACTGAACATTGTGGAGGCGTAGATCCAACACCGGGAACGGGGGAAAAATCCACTGAATTATGAATATTAAGATAACAAGTAAAAAAGCTGTATGTTCGGCCGGGCGAACTTTAAATACCCTCCACCGTATGGAACGAATTTGGAAAATTTCAAAAAAATAAAAGTCCGTTAAAAATGCTGTTAAAATCTTAAAAATACCGAATGTGGCCGTAATAATAGGGTCTATACGACGACGTGGACCTGCATAGGCCACTTTTGTCATAAGTCATTACAATATCCAAATGCGAAACTGGAAAAAAATCTGTGAATAATGTAGCTAAAATCATTAAAATACCGAATATCGGGAGGTACCGTTATATGAGGGCTATACGAGGTCGTGGACCTTCACTGACAATTTTCTATCTTAGGATGCAGAACCCTTTATGAACTTCAAATACCAAATTTCAAACAATTCCGTTAAATAATGTCGCTAAAATCACCAAAATACCGAATAACGGGAGGTGGAGTTAAATGGGGGGCTATACGAAGGCGTGGACCTGCACGAATAATTTTCTGTCATGGATTGTAGCATCCATAATGAACTTCAAATACCAAATTCGATCTTTCTTCATTCAATCAATCTTTTATGTGTTCAGGATAATGTCGTCTTTGTAGGATTGTTTTGATTGGAGTACCTGGGAGGCATCACTCCTCTATTTGCGGACATTGATATATTTTTGTAACATATTGGTTTGGAGTGGATTGAGCCGAGGTCAATCCTCAACGGATCTCCAGACATTTAAGTTATTGGCCTCCTACTGAGCCACCACAGTGGCTCTGAGCTTGTAGCATAGGATAATAAAAAACAAGGTGGGATAAAAAACTGCAACAAAATCAAAATCCATAATTTTTACTTTTTTTAAATTTTATTCAATGAAAGCAAAAAATGTCGGAAACAGCATCAAATTTTACAACATTTTTGATTTGTTCGAATGGGTCACCTTTGGCACGAATTTTGGCCTTCAAACGGCCAATGAAACCATTACACTCTGCCCGAATGTTGCTCTGCGGTATTTTTTTGCCCATTCCCGGCGAAGCTCTTGCTTGAGGTGATCGACACATTGGTATTTTTTAGTGCCAACCTTGTTTTCCAATATACTCCAGACAAAATAGTCCAACGGATTGATATCCGGAGATTTTGGTGACCATTTTTAGCGAGGAATCTCATTTAGTAACCATTCTTGGGTGGCGCATGCTGAGTGCGATGGTGCTGAGTTCTGTTGGAATGTCTAAGGTCTGCGGCCAAAATGTTTGCGTGCCCAAAGCTTTAATACATTCTCCAGAATAATATTCGTAATTTATTCTGATGCCACGGTCGATTAATAAGAGCGGAGAGCGACCATCGGCGGTTACGGCGGCGCACAACATCACATCACGACCGGCGCTTGAGTTCTGGTTGTCAACCGAAGGTGCACATTTTCAGCTGACCTGACCTCTTTGTAAAGTAAACACAATCATTTTGTTTGTTTACAACGAGTGTTTTCTCATCGGAGACGGAGAAAACCAAATTCCGAGGTTTACCACTTTCGGCCAAGCGAAGCAACTCTTTAGCTCTTTAGCGGTGTATGTTCTTGCACTTTTTGGAATTGCAATGGCTTTACCCCGAGCTCATTTTTCAATATTTGCGGAATGGAATATTGCGTTATGTTCAGCTCACGAGCCATTTTTCGGCCATTGCGAAGCAGGTTTCGATCAAGTCGCTTCTTTATTTTTCGAACCATTTCTGCTGATGTTGCTATTTTCTTTCGTCCACTTCCTTGACACATGTCGCGCTACGCTACCAGTATCACGGTCCGATAACGAGCGATGTTACGAGACACAAAATATTTATTCACATTTAAATGCTGGAGTGCTCTAACGATAGCCACTTGTGGTTTTCACAAGAAATAACACTATCACGCTTGAATTCCATCACGAATAACTTTTTTTCTGGAAAATTCTCAGCAAAATACTTTTGTACGCTTGTAAACAATATAATGAGCTGTCACTGGAATAATTTTAGCAGCTGTCGGACGAGTGGCTTAGAAATGACAGCAGTTTTCTCAGTTTTTTTCATATCACCCTATAGTAAGAACAATAATAATAATGTAACAATATTTTTGTGTTGGAATTCGGAAGGTGCTATGTCGAACTTGATCTTGGTACAGACTAAAAACCCCACCTACCGACCTCTGGGAATGTCGACAGCCTCGGCTTCACTGCCGTGTTACTTTGAAGTTACTCTAGGCTTTATATACCCACTTTTTATACCCTCTAAATCTACCGAAAGGAGAGTAATACCTCCATTCTTATTTGTCATTTTTAAAATTCGAGGAATTAATAGAAAATACAATTTTATTGAATTTCTTTTTAATATTGATGTTGTTTTCTATTGTTGACCTGTTGTATATGAATTATTAATAACTTTATTTTGGTTTAAGGTCAATTAAAAACATCAGTGTTTTATTTTTAACAATTTTGATTTTTATTTTCCGATATATTTTTTTAAAAATTTATTCAACAATATTCCCTTAAAATCATTTATTGAGGACGCAGGCAATTCGAGGCACAATCAACCATCGAACACCAGCGATTACGACTGCCACCACAACCGGCATACATGAAGAGTTTACAGCTACGCGTGGCATTATCATACCACCACATGGTACGTCTCAGGCAAAGGACACCGCCATGGCCAGGATGGCGCAAGAAATAACAATCAGGACTCTCTGGAAGAAAATAATGTGTCTAAATAAATAAATTCACCCCATATTATTATACCAAAATAATATGAAAATCATCATTGTGTCCCCTTTGAAACTTGCCAGGTCTTCCGTGGCACTGTGCTCCTGCCATAACCAGAATTGCAGCTAGAATTAAAAGTTCCATAAAAATGCTCTTCATATTGAAAGAACAATATATATTTTTATAACTTTCTACGCAGATTCGCCACTGTTCACAAAACGAATGTTTCGTTTCTGTTTCGCCTTCTCTATTTATACCCAGATCGGGCATTGTCTTTAGCGAATAAATAATAGCTTCAAATAAGACAGTGCCACAAAATTCGTTGTTTTTTCCATTAATTACTGGAAAAATGTGATAGAGAGCAGGAAGTTTCCCCTCTTCTTCCATATACACTTTTTCTGCCTCTCCTGAGTTTTTTCAGGCGTGGATTTTTTTAAACATTTTTCAAGGCCTAACCTGGGCTTCTTTTTTTTAAACTTTTTTCCAGGCCTAGCCTGGGCACCTTAGGCGTGGATAATTTTAAATATTTTTCAAGCCTTAACCTGGACTCTTTAGGCGTGTATTTTTAAATATTTTTCAAGCCCTAACCTGGATTCTTTAGGCGTGGATTTTTAAATATTTTTCAAGGCCTAATCTGGACTCTTTAGGCGTGGATTTTTAAATATTTTTCAAGGCCTAACCTGGACTCTTTAGGCGTGGATTTTTAAATATTTTTCAAGGCCTAACCTGGACTCTTTAGGCGTGGATTTTTAAATATTTTTCCAGGCCTAACCTGGGCTCCTTAGGCGTGTATTTTTAAAAATATTTCAAGATATAACCTGGGCTTATTAGGCGTGGATTTTTTAAATATTTGTCAAGGCCTAAACTTTGCTACTTAGGTGTGGGTTTTTTTATATATTTTTCCAGGCCTAACCTGGGCTCCTTAGGCGTGTATTTTTTGAATATTTTTCAAGGCCTAACATGGACTCTTTAGGCGTGGGTTTTTAAATAATTTTCAAGGCCTAACCTGGACTCTTTAGGCGTGTATTTTAAAAAATATTTCAAGATATAACCTGGGCTTATTAGGCGTGGATTTTTTAAATATTTGTCAAGGCCTAAACTTTGCTACTTAGGTGTGGGTTTTTTTTATATATTTTTCCAGGCCTAACCTGGGCTCCTTAGGTGTGGATTTATTTAAATAATTTTCAAGGCCTAACCTGGGCTCCTTAGTCGTGGATTTTTTAAATATTTTTCAAGGCCTAACCTGGGCTCCTTAGTCGTTGATTTTTTAAATATTTTTCAAGGCCTAACATGGGCTCCTTAGGCGTGGATTTTTTAAATATTTTTCAGGACCTAACCTTTGCTACTCAGGCGTGGATTTTTTAAATATTTTTCAGGACCTAACCTTTGCTACTCAGGCGTGGATTTTTTAAATATTTTTCAGGACCTAACCTTTGCTACTCAGGCGTGGATTTTTTAAATATTTTTCAGGACCTAACCTTTGCTACTCAGGCGTGGATTTTTTAAATATTTTTCAGGACCTAACCTTTGCTACTCAGGCGTGGATTTTTTAAATATTTTTCAGGACCTAACCTTTGCTACTCAGGCGTGGATTTTTTAAATATTTTTCAGGACCTAACCTTTGCTACTCAGGCGTGGATTTTTTAAATATTTTTCAGGACCTAACCTTTGCTACTCAGGCGTGGATTTTTAAATATTTTTCAGGACCTAACCTTTGCTACTCAGGCGTGGATTTTTTAAATATTTTTCAGGACCTAACCTTTGCTACTCAGGCGTGGATTTTTTAAATATTTTTCAGGACCTAACCTTTGCTACTCAGGCGTGGATTTTTTAAATATTTTTCAGGACCTAACCTTTGCTACTCAGGCGTGGATTTTTTAAATATTTTTCAGGACCTAACCTTTGCTACTCAGGCGTGGATTTTTTAAATATTTTTCAGGACCTAACCTTTGCTACTCAGGCGTGGATTTTTTAAATATTTTTTCAGGTATAACCTGGGCTCCTTACACAGGTCTAATCTGGGCTCCTTACACCCGGATTTTTTAATCATTTACCAGGTCTAATCTGGGCTCCTTACACACGGATTTTTTAATCATTTACCAGGCCTAACCTGGGCTCCTTAGGTGTGGATTT